CCAAACCAGGAACAACCAAACCATGTTTCAAACCACTTGGAACTTGTCAGCAGGCCAAGCTGAAGAAAAGAAAACACATGCAAGTGGCAATGCCAAATGCGACAGTGATTGCATATATTGACCCATGGAAATTCCAACCAATAGGTGCAGGATTGTTCCTGGTGAACATCAGCTTCAGCACTGTGTGCAAAAGTGGAATGCTCAACTAACCCAAATGCACATGAGTGATGCTGTTCACTTTAGCCTTTACCCTAGTTTCAACACTACCTTGGGACACTAAAACTGTGGTGGTTCTCTCTCATAATCAGCATCAGAGAGATACAAAATAGCATATACAAATCAGTGCATGGAACAAGTAGAAAGGGAATCTTTTGTCCAATGGAATAGCAGGTGAGCAATTACATATGTACAAGGGCTATGGCTAGCTACAGTGGCCACCCTTAACATTTTCAGTTGCCTTCCAGCCTGACTGACTAGACCACAGATATTGCCCTTATCTTACAACAGTTGCTTTTAAACATCTCCAGGTAAAATAACCTGGCTCCAAAGGCAAAACTGAAAAGTCTTTAGGGGTAACAACCACTATGCATGTTTGCTAACAGGTATGAAAGTCTCCTCGCATGTAGCATGGATTCATACATATAGAAAGCAGAGCTGAAACATTTTATTTAAAAACCATGGGGCTAATAATAAAGGAGGGTGCATCCAATATTTAAGAGCCTGAAGTAATATACTTATTACATACTCACTCAGCTGCCGCCTAACTTGCAGTTTCCAGAAGGCTCTCAGCATCTATGTTTCCATTGGCAAATGCAAAAATTAATTTGTACATGTGACCAGGGGCAGGAATTGCTGTGCCCTGACAATGATGACCTGCTCAGTACCAAGCTAATGGTGAAGCCCTGCCAGGATTCAGAAAAGCCATTCCCCTTCATTGTCTGGCCTGTAGAATCCAATGTGGCAGACATGCTCCATGCATATCTAACCCCTCCCACAAAAAGGAAAGGAAAAGGAAGAGAAGGAGACAGAGTTGCTGCCACCACCATTGTTATACTCAATAGTCCTATAGCTGAAGCACTCATCACTTCATGTGGGAGATCTCAATTCCCCTCTGCTCCAATGCATAATCCCATGTGAAGTGGAACTTCTCCTCCAGACCAGAATGGGAGGTACTCTCCTGGGAGGTGGGAGATGTGGGTTTAAGTTCCTGCCTCCCAAATGAGAGCTCTAAACATCATTTTGTCTGCCACATCCTGCTCTTCTGATGCAAAGATTGACCTTGCTTAGGTGCCTGACTCTTAGGGAGTGAAACCCAAGTGAAGACCCCTTATGCTAAGTGCTTACACCTCTTTCAGAGGCGAGGCATAAGCCACATCCCTGTCTTTGGCATTTTCCTACCAGCTACCATAAATGGCTGCACATTTGGTAGGTCAGCTTTTGTGTATCTAATTATTTGGTGCCTTGCTGATCCCAGGCATTGTCCAGCACTCCAGTATCTAACCTGTGTTTGCAAGCCCAGACATCCTTGAAATTTGGCACCGCAACACTTAAGAGCCACCTCTGAAAGAGGCTTAAGCACTTAGCATAAGGGGTCTTCACTTGGGTTTCACTCCCTGAGAGTCAGGCACCTAAGCAAGGTCAATCTTTGAACCACATTCACTGGTGAATGTCTCACCATGGTTTTAAAAATTGGGGGTTCCCCTTTCACTAAACAGTAGAATTAGATTTGTTTCTGACATTTCACTGCACACAACTAGAACCGAATATGGTGTTCTTCTTTCAGAGAAAGTTAGAACAGAATCATGGTGTTCAAACACTGCTACAACCCTTATTAGTGTAATATTACAGGTGTACCAGTACAGATTTTTTTGGCTGACACCGATGGCTGTAGAGTGAGACAGGGGCAGAGCCAGGCACTGCACAGCCAGGGCAGGGGATGGGATGGAGTCACAGCTTGTCCAGGAGTTGGGGCTCCCCCGCATCCCGGGGAGAGGGATAGGAGGCAGGTGCCCCCCCCCAGATCTGCGCACCGCGAGGGCAGGCTGCCACGGCTCATTCAGGGCTGGGGACTGCTCTTCCTGGAAGAGAGGCTGGCCTGGGCTGCACTCCAGGCAAGTAGCCACCCCAAAATTTGCTGTAGCCCCCCCCACCCAGCCCCTCTGCTGGGAAGACAATGGCACAGCCTCTAGCCCCAAGTGCGCAACAGCAGCCCTCCCTCCCCCCACACAGATCTGGGGGACACATGCCCCCCCCCCCATACCTACCCCAGAGGTGTGTGCAGCAGCAGGAGCCGCCCCCTCTGCCCCATGAATGAGCTGCAGCTCCATCACACACCCTGCCCCACTCCCTCCCTCGCTGTGCAGGCCTCGATCTGTGCTCTCCAAATCCCTTCCCCCCACAGACTTACCGGCTGGATGCCGAGTTCCAAGCTGTTGGGCTGCATTTCTGGCTGCGTGCCTGCACACTGCATTTATCAGACATTAAGCACCAATTAGCCTTTTATCAGTTCCAATATAATATGGACTGAAGTACTGGTGCACCTCTACATAATATACTAGCTTTTCACATCCATTTGTAAGGAATATAAATATACTTCATTTAACACTATTTACAAGCAAGGTGAATGCATCAGAGATCTCAGTTTCCTCAAATACAGTTAAGGGCAGGTCTTTAAATGCTTATTTATGTCTTTTATTACAGGGAAAAAAACCCTCTATG